TCTGGGCTCAGGACTGGAGGAATCTGCATGCCTCTGGCCCATTCCTCAGATGTAGACATTAAAGCTCCAAGAGGCGATGTGATTTGCCCCAAGTCACACCCAGGAAGTCAGTGCTATTGGGACAGTAATTACCCTTTCACCAAATATTAGATTGAACCTCGTGAAATCGCTACTTGTCAGTTTTTTGACCTACAAAAACAGCAATTTTATCTATCGTGTACCTCCTATGTGCCTGTGGTAGGCATCTGAGGACTCACCCTGGGTCTGGTGACAGACCCAGGCCCTGCCCTCCGGGAGCTGACTCTGTGGTTGGGAGATGACAATAAACATGTACACAGATGAATTATAGAATTTCAGATCACGGTAAATGCTATAAGAAAAATACGAATGGGGGTGAGGTGCTGGTTGTCGCAGGGCCTTGTCCCTAATATGTGCCATAATTCATACCTTATATGAACCCTGAGGTGGGGGAAGGGAGGGACACGACACTCTTGCCCTGAGTCACTGGGTAGTAAGGGGTGGAGTGGGGAGATTGGAACCCAGGCTTCATCCTGCTTGCCCCACGATTATGGTGGGTAAGGGTGGGCCTCTGTGTTAGATGCTGGGCTGCTCCGGGAGGCGACTGAGTTGCACTTGTCTCTGCAGCCCCGAGATCACCAACCTCCTGCATTCCTGAACCCCACATGGACATGGGCCGCATGCTCGAATGGCAGCCACTTGCCGGGGCCTCGGTCCGCGGGTGCCACTTGGAAGGTGTGACCGGCCAAAAGGAGGCACACATCGTTAGGGTCCTGCCGGGCTCGGAGGCCAGGTAAGAGTGCCCAGTCCTGCCCCAGGGCCCACCCTTTCACACCTCACCTTATTAAGACCCACCTTGTCCAAGGCTCAGCCCTGGCCAAGCAGTAATATAGTCTCTACCGTCCCTGAGCCTAAGCTCCGCCCACTTCCACACCAATCCCACATCCCTCCAGGTAATAGTGCAGAGGCTGCTAGTCCACCCCAGGCCTTGTCCCGGCCAGGCCAGTCCCAGTCAGACCCTGCCCAACCCCGCGTTCCCGCCCGCGCCGACGCAGGGGTCTGTCTACCCGCAGGCCCTGGACAGTGACTGTGAAGGTGGAGCTGAGGTGCACTTCCGGCGATCCCGACGCTGTGCTCATCTTGCAGGGTCCACCGTACGTGTCCTGGCTCATTGACGCCAACCACAACATGCAGATCTGGGTGAGTCTTGCTCGGCGACCCAGACAGTCCTGTGCAGGCCTCAGCAAGGCTCTCCAAAGAGAAAACCTTTGCACCAGCGCTCCAGCCCCCATCCTTTACACATGACGATGATACTTCTGGCCCCACCCTCTTCCTCTGTACATTACCTAGTCTTCCTTTCGTCAGCACCTAGATGGCACCTCCTCCGGGAAGCCTTCCATCAATCCTTAGGAAGTCCCTTAACCCAACCCACAGGGTCAGGGAAGGTTCTTGTAGAAGCGAACCCCATGCCGAGTTGAAGGGCAAACAGGAGCCAGTAGATGAGAGGAGGTGGCCCAGGCAGAGGAGACAGCAGGAGCAAGAGAGAGAGCAGCGCTGAGGCCTGGCAGAACCAGGCGTGGCTGCGTGCCTCCTGAACCCAGGCGTGGCTGCGTGCCTCCTGAACCCAGGCTTGGCTGCGTGCCTCCTGAATGTCTATGGCTAAGTGCTCCGCCTCTCTCTCTGTCATTAGACCACTGGCGAATACTCCTTCAAGATCTTTCCAGAGAAGAACATCCGTGGCTTCGTGCTCCCCGACACACCGCAAGGCCTGCTGGGGGAGGCCCGGAGGCTTAACGCCAGTGTGGTAGCATCCTTTGTGGAGCTCCCTCTGGCCAGTGCCGTCTCACTGCGGGCCAGCAGCTGCGGTGAGCGCCCAGCTCCCTTCCCTTGCCCTCCTGCCTTCCTTTGCCCTCTCCTTGGATCAGTTGCCATAGTGTGGTGGGTGAACACCACTGTGCAGCTGTGTGAGACGGGCAAGTCGCGTCAACTCCCACTTTTCTCATCTGCAACATGGGGCCAGTGAGAGCAGCTAGCTACAGAAGTGCTTAGTGCCTGGTTCACAGGGAGCCCTCAGTGACCCTCTGCCCGGCCTGCCTCTGCTACCCTGCAGGCGGTGGGCTGCAGACCTCACCCACACTTGTCCAGACCACCCCTCCCAAGGAGAGCTGCAATCAAGAGCTGCTCATGTCCCTGATCCAGCCAAAGTGCTCTGATGACATCATGACCCTGGTACTCAAGAAAGATCTCATCTCGGTAAGGGAACCCCTACCCTTCCGACCTGGGTGATGTGGGCCACTGGTCCCTTCTCAAGCCCAAGAATCTTGGGGTCCTAACCCAGGCAGGGAGACAAATCACATCCCTCTGCAAGCTTCAGGTTTCCCACTTGTAAAATGGGGTTGAAAATGATCCCTACCCTGCGGTGAGAATTAAATGAGGTCTGACCTGCTGAGCAAGCTGTGGTACACAGTAAGTGCTCAATCAATAGATACTAGGTAGTTCCTTATTAATCCTAAACATAGGCTGAGCAGGGTGGTCACCAATGATATCTACACAATATGATTTCTGCCTGATTGAGGAACAAGGGTATTTATTATAAAAATAACACAGGCTCTTTTAAAAATGTGGAAAATTAGAAAAGAAGAAAATCTCAATCTCCCCATCCAAAGACAGTGGCTACCAATATTTTGGTGTGTTTCTTTCTAGAATTTATCTGAGTATTTCTTATATAGGGGAATCATATCAGATATACTTGTCTTCTGCTATATTCACTTACCGTATTTTTAGAACTTTGACATATGTACTTAATATCACATTTAATGAGCACATATTATTCCATCGCATTGACACACCATAATTAACTCCTCCTCCCTTGGTAGACATTTAGCTTGTTTCCAATTCTGCAACATTATAAATATGCAGAAAATGTTATTGTGCATGAAGCTTTTTTATATAGGATTATTTTCTTAGGATAGATCTCCACATTAGTGAGATCGCTGGGTCAAAATGAGTGAACATTCTAGAAGTTTCGATACATGTTGACAACCTACTTTCCAGAAGACAACTTCAATTTTCACTGCTGCTTTATGAGAGCACTGTGAATCTCTCTCTCTCCAGACTATATTTTTGTTTAAAAAAGAAAAACCTTAGCCAGTGTGGGAGGTGGAATATGGCATTCTTTGGTTAGTAGTGAGTGTGGACATGGCTCCACATGACTGATAATAACCTAAATCTCTTTATTGCTGTGGTGTGGTGCTTTCCTAGATGACTTTTATATGCTTTTTACATAAAGGAGAAAATGTTGGCCCTTTGTTCTTCATTCTTATCAAAATCATTTCTCCCAGTTTGTTATAGGTCTTTAAATTTTGGCTACAGCAGTTTTTAACTTTTTGGACATTTGTAAACATTGGGCCACCTTTGCTACCCATCTTCCCTTTATCATTTCTTCTGGCCTTTCTGAGGCAGGAAATCTTGCTGCCAAAGCCTTGACAAATCATCCGTGGTCTCGGGGATTTTTAGAATGACATTTAAATCTGTGGTTAAGTCCATGTGGAAGATTTTTGGGGTGTGGGTTATCGGGGCCTATGTGAAGCTCCACCTGTCGACTGCCCATCTCGTCCTCCTCCCCTGCCTATGCCTGGCCCAACAGATGTCTGGGAGGTGGAAGGGGCGATACAGTGGCCAGTGATGGCTGGCATTACTGCTGCCCAGGCCCAAGGGGCCTGGATGAGTACGTTTCCCATCAATCTTTGGAACATTACAGTGCACTAAAAAGAATGTCCTAGATCCATAAATATAGAGACAGAAAGATGTATATGATTTGCTGTTCAGTGAGAAAACTAAGCATGAAGGACAGTATGATGCCATTTGTTAAAAATACACACATACCAAAAAAAGTCCACACGTTTTCTCTGAGTACATATGTCTGTATAGAAGAAAGCACGAAGAAAAGGGTCTAAACGGATTCCCCCCCAAATATGGGGCGCACTGTCTCATGGACTTATGGAACGTAGTCAGTGTGCAGAGTTTGAATTCTGGGCCCACTGTCACTGGGGCTTCCCCTGGTGAAAAGCCATTTTTATTTGGTGGGCCAATGTCTCCTAAGCTGGCCCTGGGCAGCTGGGACAGCAGCAGTCAGGGACAGCATTGTGGAGGAGTAGATGTGAGTTAGCTAGACTCAAGTGGGACCTCCAACAACCCACTCACCTCTAAGACTCTGATATGCTTTGATCCTGAGAGTGTGACACATTCCAAGAATTTTCTAAAACAAGAGATAGCAAACTAGGACTCACTGCCTGTTTTTTGTAAATAAAGTTTTATTGGCACACCCATCTGTTTACATGTTGTTGGTGGCTGCTTTTGGGCTATGAAGGCAAAGTTGGGTGATTGTAACAGAGTCCACATGGTCTGCAAAATGTAATATTTTGTATCGGGCTCTTTAAAGGTTTGCTGACCTCAGGTCTGAGAGTCTGTGGTTCTGAGATTGGATTATGCTGTTGGGGTGTGCATATATGTAGAACTCCAATAAATTTTAACATTGTAATAGTTCTGCATTTATTTTGATAAACAGTAGAAGAAAAACAATAAGTAGAAAATCAAAGTCATGATGTTACAGATCTTATTGCTTAGAACAAGCTAAGTACAAAAGTGAGTCAAGTTTAGGAAGAGTATTAAGTCTTAAATGGTGTAGGATGACGGCAGAGGAATGACTGTGATTTGGGACCCCTGGGTTCTGATCAGACCTTGGTGCTGGGGTGTGACGGACAGATCCCAGGGAGCCTGGTGCCTGACGGTGCCCCCCCAACCCTGGCCTAGACTTTGAGGTGCACCATCACGAGCCTGACCTTCTTGGACCCCAGCTGCCGGGCTGAGGACAGAGATGACCAATGGGTCTTACGCAGCGCCTACTCCACCTGTGGCATGGAACTGACAGAAAATGTGGTCAGTAATGAGGTAAGAGCTGGGGTCGAAAGGTATCAGAGCCAGACTAGTTGGTGCCCCCTCCAGGGACCGCCTCGATCTTCCAGGCTGAGGGGCGTTTAGGAGGGCGGGACATGGTGCCCAGTAGGAAGGCAAGCTCAGGTGGGCTGTGGCTGGCTCAGTCTCTACATCCAGTGTATTGGGTGGGATGCCCTCTGGAGTTCCTTCTGCCTCTGACCAGCTCCTTGGCTCTGTTCCTGCAGGTGGTCGTCAACCTCCTGTCAAGCTCATCACCACAGCGGGTGAGATGGATGGTCACCATGCTAACCCATCTGGTCCAGGGTCTTGGGGCCCCTTCCTGGCCTGGGAGGGAGCAGGCCTCAGGACACTCAGGCTCATCCCAGCATGCCATGTGTCTCCAGAGTGTCTCAGCCTCCCCTTCTGTACAATGGGACCAGTACTATTACTGTTTAGGGTGACATTCTCAGCTAATCAGGGGGTTCTAGCACATATTGGCTGTGTGGCCTTGGGCAAATCACTTAAGCTTTCTAGGCCCCAAGGTCATATCTGTAAACAGTGGTATAAGAAAGGCTCCCCCATGGGGGTGCTTAATGATCAGTCACTGAAATGACACATGGAAAGCGCATGTTTTTTTGTTTCCAAAGGTGAGGCTAGGGTCTGGGAACTAGAACATGACTGCTGCTCCCACCCCCACCGGTCACCTTCCTGGCCAGGTGCCTCCCAAACTGACCGAGCCTCCCTCCCATCTCCTACAGAAAAAGGTGCAGTGCATCAACATGGAAAGCTTCTCCTTCCAGCTGGGCCTCTACCTCACCCCACAATTCCTCCAGGCCTCCACCACCATCGAGCTGGGGCAACAGGGCTTTGTGCAGGTACTGGACTTGACCTCTCAGGCCTGCCAACTCCTGAGATTTCTCAGAGCCTTTCTTCCCACCATTAGTACAGAGGAGATGAGAATTTAACTTCCTGGTGGAAGGAGGGAGAGTGCATGGTGCATGGAGGGGAGCGATGGAAGAGGCAGAACTCAGAGACAGTGATTCGAAATGTCACCTCCTCCACCAGGCAGGCCCGCTGCTGTCTCACAGTCAGGGCTCAGGGGCAGGAACTCTAGAACGAATCTAGCTGCTTTCGTGAGAGCAGGCAGGGTGAAGGGTTAAGAGTAACTGCCCATGCCTCGTCCCCCTTGCCTACCCATGCAGGTGAGCGTGTCTCCATCGATCCCTGAACTCATGCTCCAGCTGGACAGCTGCCAGCTGGATTTGGGGCTTGAGGCAGAGACCGTGGAACTCATCCAGAGCCAGGCAGCCAAAGGCAGCTGTGTGAGCCTGCTGTCCCCAAGCCCTCACGGTGATGTGCGCTTCAGCTTCCTCCTCCGTGGCTACATGGTGCCCACACCCAAGACTGGCACCCTCAGCTGCACCGTAGCTCTGCGTTCCAGGACTTGGTCCCTGGTGAGTGAGGCCTGCCAGTGTCAAGGCTTTCAGGTCTGGAGTTTCAGGGAAGGGACGGGACAGACCAGGAGGATGTAAGACCAGCTGGTGAAAGGCAGAGCCAGTTACATGTGTGGCTTCTGGCTACCAGGGGGTACTCTTTATGCTACCCTACAGCCTCTGAAGGCTTTGCTGTGTCTTAGATATTGGTAGGATATGCAGCTGCGACTGTCCATCCATCCGTCCATCCATCCATCCATCCATCCATCCATCCATCCATCCATCCATCCATGCTACCCTACAGCCTCTGAAGGCTTTGCTGTGTCTTAGATATTGGTAGGATATGCAGCTGCGACTGTCCATCCATCCGTCCATCCATCCATCCATCCATCCATCCATCCATCCATCCATCCATCCATCCATCCATCCATCCGTCCATCCATCCATCCACCCACCCATGTAGTATGATCACCAGTGTAATCTCGGTAAACAGGAGACCTCAAGGATGAGGGTTAACATAGAGGACTCAACTTTCTGATTTTGTTCATTTACTAGCCACGGTGCTTCACCATCCAATGGGTTTCCACTCCCAGGCACTCACCCCTGGACACACTCAGAGTCACCCCAGGCCCTGGCACGTAGAAAGGTCTCTGGTCGTATGCACCTAAAGAAGCCTCTGAGCTCATCTTTCTAAGGTGTTCACAAGGGTAACGCACGCAGTGCCAAGTGCTCCCACAGTCCTCATGGGAGTCAGGGGCCTCCCAAAACTTCACAGGAAACATTCCAGCAGCAGCCAAGGGCTGTCTGCTCAACACCCTTCCATAGGCTCAAAGGCTCCTAGCCAGACGTGGTGGGATGGGATTCAAAGCCAAGGCCTAGAGTAGGCTGCCAGGGAGTAAACCTGGAAGCTTCCTCTAGAAGGCCATGCCACCCACGGCTCTCTCCTCCTCCCCTAGGAAGTCCACAGGACTCTCTCCATGCGCCTGAACATCGTCAGCCCTGGCATGCCCGGTGAGCGCTCTCCACGTCTCTCTGGGGTTCAGGGGCTGACGTCAGACTGGGGCACCACGAACAACCCAGAGGGAGGAGGCCCTGGCTCATGGCAGGCCAGACTCCAGAGGGAGCAGCCCTGGGAGGCAGGACGAGGGCTTAGCAGCCTGGAGTAGGGGCCGCAGCCACGTCTTTGAGCTGGAGAGCCTTTGGCTCTCATCCCCACGGCTGCTGGGTGACGTTACTGGGGGGAGGGGGCCTCAGAATCAGTTCCGGATGGGACAGAGGATACCTTGGGGTGGTGCTGACCTCACCCTCCTTAAGGCCCCCAGCATGGAGGCTGCCCCTTCAGCCCAGCATCCTCCAGCCTCTCTGTTAATTCCTTGTGGCCCCCACCTGGCAGGAGACTCCGACACTGGAAAAAGAGGTGGGGGGGTTACCCCCTCTTTGCCACCCAGCCCGGGCCAGGATGCAGCCCTCACTCACTCCCAGCTCACACCCAGGAGAACAGGGCTGATAACTCCACTGCGTGGATAGAAAGTCAGAGGCCCAAGGGGAGCCTGCTTGACCCACAGTCACACAGGAGTCAGGGGTGTGGGACGGATGAGGCTTGGGAAAACCCAAGAGCAGAGCTAAAGAGTCCTCAGAGGTGCTCTGGCCCGTCCCCACCATGGTATAGGGCTCAGAGAGGGGCAGGGACTGACCTAAGGTCACACAGTGAGGCAGGGCAGGCTCTGGACTCCCAGGCCCCCTTCTTTTTGCTCGGATTATACCATCCCTAAAATGCATGTCCTTCAGCCTTGGGAGGCAGAGACATGGCCCAGAGGCCTGGCTAGGCCCTCTGGGTAGATGGTCATAGCAACCACAGGTTAGTGCCAGACATGGGTGTGACAGACCCATTTCCTACACGAGGAGACTGAGGTTCAGAGAAGTCAGGGCAGTGGCTGAGCTGGGACTTGCACCGACCCTGTGCTTTGGCCAGCACAACAGGGTAGGGGGTCAGGGGGAAGGCAGCACTGCTGACCGTCCCTCCCTTGGTCGCGCAGGCAAAACACTCGTCCTGCCCGCTGTGCTGGGCATCACCTTTGGCGCCTTCCTCATCGGGGCCCTGCTCACCGCCACGCTCTGGTTCATCTACTCGCACACGCGTGAGTATCCCAGGCCCCCACCGTGAGTGCGCAGGACCCTCCACCACCGCCCGGGGGAGCCTGGCAAAGCCTCTGGGGGAGTGGGGAGCCCTGGCCGGGGCCCTGACCTCCGCCCCTGCCCCCAGGTCCCCCCAGCAAGCGGGAGCCCGTGGTGGCGGTGGCTGCCCCGGCCTCCTCAGAGAGCAGTAGCACCAACCACAGCATCGGGAGCACCCAGAGCACCCCCTGCTCCACCAGCAGCATGGCGTAGTGCCCAGCCCAGGGCCCCAGGGGCCACCCGGCCAGCCCTTGCCCAACGAGAGAGACCGAGCAGCCACCAGCTGGGAACCACTGGTCATGAACTCACCCCGGGACCCCAATCCTTCCACTCGACCAAGGATGAACCATGCCCTCTACGCCTGCCCCTCCTGCCTCCCTCTCAGAGACCTGCTGCCAGCGGGGGCACCAACTTGGAATGCATTGGGGTTCCCTCACCCCACCCTGCAGAACCTTCAAACTCAGTGGGCCTGGGGTGCAGCTGCCCCGGACCGCGGAGAGACAGACCCCTGCCCTGTATGTCCACATTGCTGTAGAAACCCAAGTCCCTGTCAGTGTAAGCTGGATCCAACACTCGGTGACCTGGGCTGGGCAGAAGGCAAGGACTCGAAACAGACTCGGCCCTGCCCACCCAGGCCAAAAGCACCCCCTCCGTGGCCAGCCCAGAACCACCAGGATCCGAGCCCAGCGGCATCCACACCTGGACTGGCACAACTCTGGGGGGCAGACTGAAGCCTAGAGGTGCCCAGCCTGGGAACAGGGGAGCCTAGTTCTAGCTCCTTCCTGCAACTGTCACATAAAGACCCCCCCTCCCTTCTAGCCCATCAGGAAGGCAGCAGATGGGAGTGGCCAGGCTGCCTGACCTGGGCCCACCCCTATATACTCACCACCAATAAATCAA